TGTCTGCGACCGTCCCGGTCACACCGCCGACCGCTGTTATTGCCGCCTGGACGACCTCTTCCATGTTCGCTTCGGCCCGGCGTCGGACCCCCCCGACTAGCATAGCCTGGTGCGTCGTCGTGTGCCTGTGTTTGAGCTCGATATGGATCAGATTAGGTATGTTATGTATGTCCTGTATGCTGATGACTCTAGTGTGACTGGACCCTATTACCCTGTGTTGCCTAGTGTAGGTGTGTCCACTATGTGTAGCCTAGGTTCCCCTGCTGCATCAGGTGTAGGACCACCTGCCTTGTTTAGCCCCGGCTCCACTCTAGCTCCTCCGCTTTCGGACGCCACCGCCGCGCTCTCTTTCACGCTAGACTCATTTGCGTCCGTCTGCTTCTTTCGCGACCACACTGCGCTCATGCCGCTTGCCGCCCCTGCCGCTCTAGCGCTTGCTCCCCCCTACCACTGCGACACTCCAGACCCTGCACCTGGACGTCTGGGGCCCAGTCCTCGTCCCAACGCCACGTCGAGAGCGCTACTTTCTAGTGCTTGTCGATGACTACATGCGCTACACCACGATGTTTCCCCTTGGAGCGGAAGGCCGACGTGCCCGACGTTCTTGTCCAGTGGTTCGTAGCTTCGCGAGTCCACCGCGCCCCCTCCGTGTTGTGTCTTCACTACGACCGTGGCGGCGAGTTTGCCTCCGGTCGGCTTGGCCAGTTCTGTCGTGCGGAGGGCATCACTCAATCGTGCACCCTGCTGGACTCCCCGCAGTTGAATGGGGTCGCTGAGCAACGCATCGGTTTTGTCATGGAGATGGCTCGTACCTCCATAATCCATGCCAGTGCACCCCATTTTCTGTCTCCGTTCGCTGTACGCTACGCCGCTCACCAGCTTACCTGTGGCCACACTCCCAGCGGCCGCAGGTTTCGCCGACCCTCTTTTGGAGCGGGATCCTTGGTGACGCATCTGCGTTCCACGTCTGGGGCTGCCTCGCTCACGTTCGTGCCTCTGGCACGGACAAGCTCACTGCCCGCACTGTCCCTTGTGTCTTCCTTAGCTTCCCCCTAAACGCCTCTAACTGGCACTTTTACCACCCATCGTCTCACTGTTTCTTTCACTCTCGTAACATCACCTTTGACAAGTCTGTCTCATTCTATACCCGCTTTCCCCACCGAGGTCTCCCGGTTATCCTGTCCCTGTTTCTGGTTCCCACTCTCCCGGTATCCCCTGCTCCTCTCCCTCCACGTATTGCCTCGTCTTGTGTGTCTCACGTCACTCCCCTCCCGTCGGTTGTCCCGGTAGAGGAGTCGGCTGACTCTAGGGGCCATGCGGCTCCGGTTTTGCCACCTGTCTCCGCCCCGGTGTCTCCTCCTCTGCCGCCGCAGCAGACGCCGCCGTCGTCGCCGCAGTAGCAGCCGCCGTCATTGCCACCGCAGCCGCAGCAGCAGCCGCAGTCCCCACCGCAGCAGCCGCCGCCGCCACAGGGGTCCGCAAACTCTGGGGGTGCGGGCGTTGAGGAGGGTGCTGGTCCTGGGGGTGCTGGTTCTGGGGGTGCTAGTCCTGGGGGTACTGTCGTAACTTGTCCCGGCGGTCCTAGGGGTGGCATCGGTGCTAGAGAGGGTTCTCGCTCTGGGGGTGCTGGTTCTGGGGGTGCTAGTCCTGCGGGTACTGTTGTGGCTTGTCCCGGCGGTCCTAGGGGTGTCACCGATGCTGGAGAGGGTTCTCGTTCTGGGGGTGCTGATGTGGAGCGTCCCAGAGGTTGCCGAAGCGCAGCTGGAGGTTCTGGCGTTGGCGTGCAGTAGTAGTCGCCGCCGATGTCCGCCCTTTGCCTCCAGGGTCTTCTCTCCCCCGACCGCCCGCCTGCGCCTCCCCTGCCGCCGCCTCCGCCGCCTGTCTATGGCCCTGTGTTTCCTCCACTGGACTCGTCCTCGGCTCGTTTCCCCCCTCGTTCTCCTCCAGTATCTCCTCCCTTGTCTCCTGACCCGACCCCCCTCTCCCGCTGGTGGTCTCACTGTGCCTCTCGTGCGCGTCATGTTTCTCCTATGCAGCGCTCTCACCCTATGTTGCTACGCTCTCATGCATCTCGTGCTCCTCTTCTACCATCGCTTGTTGTCTCTTTGGCTCCTCTCTCTGACTTCCTCCGTGCTGCTAGTCCACTTGTTCTTCGCGTTCTCACCTCTCTTGTTACCAGACTGTCCGCTCCTGTCTCCAGTCTTGACGCTCTTGTCCCCACCGTCGCTGACTTTGCCTCTACCCACCGCCTTGACTGCACCACCGCTCTGGTCTCTGACCCTGCTCGTCCTCCGTCCATCCAGGGTGCACCTGCCCTTGGCAGTGACATCCTAGAGGACAGGCAGTACAAGCTAGCTTTCCTTTCCGAGGCCACTCCCCATCTTTGCTCCATGCTGCTATTCCCTGAGGGTGACCCAAACGCCCTTGACATCCCGACCCCTCACACTTACGCTGAGGCGACCTTGAGACCATGGGCTTCTCAGTGGATAGCTGCCATGGACGCGGAGATGGCATCTTGGAGATCCACCGGCACCTACGTCAAAACAGTTTTCCCATTTGGGATGAATATAGTCAACGGCTGGTCACTCTTCAAGGTGAAGCGCCCTCCTAGAGAGCCGCCGGTGTATAAGGCACACTACATTGCTAGAGGATTCAGTCAACGCGAGGGTGTTGACTTCTTTCAGACCTTTGCCCGATCCTGAAGATGACCACTCTTCGGGCGCTGCTACAAGTAGCAGCATAGCGTGACTACGAGCTGCACTCCCTCGACTTCTCTACAGCGTTTCTCAAGGGCAATCTGCACGAGTAGGTCTACCTGCACTGTCCGCTAGGCTTACCCGACACCTTTCCCCCTAGCACCGAGTGGCTTCTCCGGGGCCCGGTTTACGGCCTACGGTAGGTGCCCCGTGAGTGGCACGACATGCTGCGTGCTACGTTAGCTGACCTACTGTTCTTGTCACCGCGCTGCCACCGCGCGACTCCAGACCCTGCACCTGGACGTCTGGGGTCCAGGAGTGTTCCGGAGGTAGTCGTAGTGCAGCTGGCGGTCCAGGTGTCGGCGTCGAGCAGCAGCAGCAGCAGTCGCCGCCAGTGTCCGCCCTTTGCCTGCTCAGCCTTCCCTCCCCTGACCGCTCGCCTGCGCCTCCCCCGCCGCCTCCTCCCCTTCCTGTCCACGGTCCTGTGTTTCCTCTGCCGGACTTGTTCCCGGCTCGGTTCCCACCGCGTTCCCCTCCTGATACTCCTCCTCTGTCTCCTGACCCGACGCCTCCGTCCCACTTCTGGTCTCGCCGCCCCTCTCGTGCTCGTCCTGTCTCTCCTGTTCAGCGTTCTCACCCTATGTTGCTTCGTTCCCATGCGTCCTCCCCTCCTCTCGTCTCCTCCTCCGTCGTTGCTCACAGTCGCGCCACCCCTCTGTCTAACTATTTTCGTGCTGCTCGTCCTCTTGTTCCTCGGGTCCTTGCCTCCCTCGTTATCGACCCGTCTGTTCCTGTCTCGAGTCTTGATGCTCTTGTCGCTGCTGTCGCTGACTTCACCTCTACCCACCGCCTTGACTGCGCCACAGCTTTGATCTCTGGCCCTGCCTGCCCTCCGTCCGTCGGGGATGCTCCTGCCCTTGGCAATGATGTCCTAGAGGACAGGCAGTACGAGCTTGCTTTCCTGTCCGAGGCTGCTCCCCATCTCTGTTCCATGCTGCTAGTCCCTGAGGGTGACCCCTCGCACTTACGCTGAGGCGACCTCGGGACCCTGGGCCTCTCAGTGGATAACTGCCATGGAGCAGGAGATGGCATCTTGGAGATCCACCGGCACCTATGTTGACGCAGTTCCCCCACCTGGGGTGAACGTAGTCGATGGCCGGTGGCTCTTCAAGGTGAAGCGCCCTCCTAGAGAGCCGCCTGTGTTCAAGGCGCGCTTTGTAGCTCGAGGCTTCAGTCAGCGCGAGGGGGTGGACTTCTTTCAGACCTTCGCCCCGACCCCGATGACTACTCTTCGGGCGCTGCTACACGTAGCAGCACAGCGTGACTACGAGCTTCACTCCCTCGACTTCTCCACTGCTTTACTTCAGGGCAGCCTACACGAGCAGGTCTACCTGCGCTGTCCACAGGGCTTCACCGATACCTTTCCGCTTGGGACCCAGTGGCTCTTTCGGCTCCCGGTCTACGGCCTGCGACAGGCACCGCGTGAGTTACTGGGCACACTGACGCTTCTTGGGCAGACGACGCAGAGACCCTTAGGTTTTCTCATGGCTATTGCTTTAGCCTTGGTGCAGGCGCGGTCTCGTGGAGGTCCACCCGTTCGTCATCGTTTGCTCAGTCCAGCTGCGAGGCTGAGATCTACGCTGGTGCCATGGCAGCACAGGAGCTCCGCTGGCTGACTTTCTTGCTCACAGACTTAGGTGAGCGGCCTAGCTCTCCCCCGGTCCTGTACACTGACAACATGGCCATGATCCTCCTGTGTCAGGAGCCTCGACTGGAGGGAAGAGCGAAGCACGTCCAGCTGCTGTACTTCCTCCTGCGCGAGCTACAGCAGCGTCGCCAGGCCCGCGTAGTACCCTTGGCCTCCGATGCCAACACAACTGATATCTTTACCAAGCACTTCCGCCTAAAGATCATATGCGGCACTGTTTGCAGCTTGGTCTGGTTCCTGTAGCTACTCACTTGCTAGGACCTTGATTGTGTACTTCTCTTTATATATACCTTTCTGACTGGCCTTGTGGCTTCTCTTCCAGTGGTCGGACTAGTAGTGCCGCCCTGGTTTGCTCTTGTCTTGTTTGTACTCTTGCTGACTGGTCTCCGTACCCTTGACTGAGAGGCTGGACTAGTAGTGCCACCCTGAGCTGTGTTTCGACCTCCAGTTACTGCCCCTCATCTGGCCTAGGGGGTGTGTCAAACATATTTGTATATGTTATAATACGCGAGATAGGTGCATGCTCTTAGAGGGTAAAACACTTGCACAAAATCAACCTGTATGTCACATTCTAGTCAACTTTTCTACTCTGAGAGTGTCAACATATTTATATATTGTTTGGAGCTAGATAGAGAGTACTGCACCATAGCACAAAACCTGCCTGTATGCCTCATTTGAGATGGGATGTGATCAATGCACACTAGAGAGTTGATTAGTGCATCCAAGGGATCTTGGCACGCAGTGTGATCAATGCATCCTAGAGATCTTGGCGGTGTGAACAATGCATCCTAGAGATCTTGGCACACAGTGTGATCAATGCATCCTAGAGATCTTGGCACGCGGTGTGATCTATGCATCCTTGGAATCTTGGCTCGCAGTGTCATCAATGCATCCTTGAGATCTTGGCACGCGGTGCGCTCTGCTTCAGCTCCCTCACCCTCTCCTTCTCGCGTCGCCTTGCCAGCTCCTCGGGGCTCAGCTTCGCCTCCTCTGCTTTCCTCCGCTCCTCCTTCCTCTTCTGCAGCTCCTCCTGCCTCTTCTCCTTGGTCTCTTTCAGTGCTGCCTCCGCTGCCTTTGCCCGCGCTGCCTCCGCCTTGGTCTTCGCCTGAACGAACTCATTTTGGTGGAAGTAGGGAGGAGAGAAGGGAAGGGGAGAGTGCATGTGAGCAAGAAACCCTAAGCTCCTCCTGCCGCCTCCACTGCCTTTGCACGGGCTTCCTCTGCCTTGGTCTTCGCCTGAAACAGATATTTGCAAGAGGGAGGGGGGGAGGGGGAGGTTAACTCAGCTTCGCCTCCTCTGCTTTCCTCCGCTCCTCCTTCCGCCTTCGCAGCTCCTACTGCCGCTTCTCCTTGGTCTCCCGCAGTGCTGCCTCTGCTGTTTCGGCCCGGGCCGTCTCTGCCTTCGCCTTGGTCTGAAACACAGACAGTTGCGCGGAGGGGTGGGGGGTTGGCGAAAGGGAGGAGGATGCATGCGAAGAAAAAAACTTCAGGCTCCTCCTGCCTCTTTTCCTTGCTTCAGGCTCCTCCTGCCTCTTCTCCTTGCTCTCTCTCAGTGCTATCTCCGCTGCCTTGGCCCGCGCTGCCTTTGCCTTAATCTTCACCTGAAACACGGACATTATCGGACGGGGGAGGCGCCTGGTACCGCTGTGTTACCGCTGTGTTACCAGGTAATCTTCACCTGAAACACGGACATTCTCGGACATTCTCTTTTGAGGCGCCTCAAAACACGGACATTCTTGGAGGGGGGAGGGGGGAGGGGGTTTGGGAAGGATGCGTGCGCAAAAAGAAGAAACTAAAACTCCTCCTGTTGCTTCTCCTTCCTTCGTCTCTCAGTGCTGCCTCTGCTGCTTCAGCCCACGCTGCCTCTGCCTTCCTCCATGCCTGACGTAGGGCAGCGACGCCTTGAGCTTCGCCAGCTAGGCCATGCATGCCGGGCCGGCACTGGAGCTAGTCAGTGGGAGCAAAGGATGGTCCTGAATCGCAACTGACCTACCCACGGCGTTACTGCAGAACGGCAGCGATGGCATGAGCTTCGCCCACTAAGCCACGCGCGCCGGTGCCACGCCAGCACTAAAGCTAGTCAATGGGAAGGTTTTTGAGTCGACTCAAAAATCAACTTATTACACATAGTCAATGGGACGGAAGGTCCAGATCCGCCACGCCAAGTGTCCATTTTTTAGGCACTAAAAATACACTCCTCAAGAAGGGCACCCATGCCCATGAGTCTCACACCAGCTCAGCCACGCGTGCGGTGCGGTGCAGACATAAAAGAGACTACAATTTGGGGAATGAAGGACCAGACTCAGTCAAGGTGAGCAGCGGATAGGTATGCCTGAGCACTGAGTCGGAACCTCCCCACGGTGTCAATGCAAAACGGCACCGACGCCATGAGCTTGCCCACGGATCAGCAGCAGGAGCAGCGAGCATTCATTAAAGGAACTGGGCTTAGAGAATCAGGGGTTAAGGTTACCTGAGCGCTGAGTCGGAACTTCCCCTCAGACAGCGATGCCATGAGCTCCCCAGCTCAGACACACGTGCAAGGGGTACAAGGGGACTGGACTTGGGGGATTGGTTCACCTGAGCGCTGAGTCGGAACTTCCCCTCAGACAGCAATGCCATGAGCTCCCCAGCTCAGACACACGTGCAAGGGGTACAAGGGGACTGGACTTGGGGGATTGGTTCACCTGAGCGCTGAGTCGGAACTTCCCCTCAGACAGCGCAGCAGCTTGCAGGGTGAGAGCGCACGGACAGCTCACCTGAGCGCTGAGCCGGAACTTCTCCACGGCGTCAATAAAGAAGGGTATTGACGCCATGAGCTTCGCCAGCTCAGACACGCGTGCATGGGCTACAAAGGGAGTGGACTTGGGTCTGCTTTTGAGTCGACTCAAAAGCAAGGGGACTGGACTTGGGGAGTTGGTTCACCTGGGCGCTGAGTCGGAACGTCCCCATGGACAACGCAGCAGCTTGCAGGGTGAGAGTCCACGGACAGCTCACCTGAGCGCTGAGTCGGAACTTCCCCACGGCGTCGATAAAGAAGGGCACCGATGCCATCAGTTTCGCCAGCTCAGCAGCGCGGTCAGCGGGGGACCCGCCCCGTGGGAGCAGGAAGGAGAAGCGCAGCACCTTCCTGTGCGCACCCGCTGCGGTGGGGTGCTGGTCGGTGAAGTGAAGGGCGCGGAAGAGAGGCGCGTGCTTGGGGTACGACTTCTCTCCAAATAGCTGCATGCAGGGAGGAGGGGGAAGGGGGGGGGGGGGGGGGGGGGGGCACATGGGGATGGGGGTATGGGGGAAATGAGGCCTGTGGGAGCAGGAAGGGGGAGCGCAGCACCATTCTGTGCGCGCCCACCCGCGGCGGTGGGGTGCTGGTCCGTGAAGTGGAGCGTGCGGAAGAGAGGCGCGTGCTTGGGCTAGGACTTCTCTCCAAAGAGCAGGATGAGGAAGGGCAAGGAAGAGGGGGAGGAGAGGGGAAGGGGGGAATGTGAGCAGGGGGAGAATCAGTTGAGGGCGAGAATAGCGAAGGGGGCTGCTGGCCCCTGAAGTGGAGCGCGCGGAAGAGAGGCACGTGCTTTGGGTAGGACTTCTCTCCGAATATGATGGAGAATGGGGATGTGGGGGTGGGGCGGATGGGGGGAAAAGTGTGGGAGGATATGAGTAAGAGGAGACCCTTGGAAGGAGGAAGGAGAAGCGTGGAACCTTGCTGTGCGCGCCTGTGGCAGTGGGGTGCTGGTCCGTGAAGTGGAGCGTGTGAAAGAGAGAAGCTGTGTGCTTGAGGTAGGACTTCTCACCAAGAACATGGACGGGGAATGGGGGAATGAAGGAGGGAACGAGTCCATTGGTTGGAAGCACCAAGGGAGGGGGGGAGGGGGGTGGTAAGGAGATGCGGAAAGGAAGGGCGGGGAAGGAAAAGGGGCTGGGGTTGCTTGCTGGCCTGTGAAATGAAACGCGCCGAAGGGAGAGGCGCGTCGCTGGGAACGAACGGACTTGTCTCCAAACAGGTGAAAAGGAGGGGAGGAAGGAATGGTGAGACTATTAGAATTCTCAGGAACGAATGGACTTGCCTTTAAATTGATGAAAAGGAGGGGAGGAAGGAATGGTGAGACTATTAGAATTCTCAGGAACGAGCGCAGCTGCTTTTGAGTCGACTCAAACGAATTCTCAGGAACGAATGGACTTGCCTTTAAATTGATGAAAAGGAGGGGAGGAAGGAATGGTGAGGTTGGGTAAGGGATGCGAAAGGAAGGTAGGGGTTTGAGGGTGGTGGAGGGGGGGAGGAGGGTGAGGGGGGGAGGGGGGAACGATGGGGGTGAGGGGGGGGGACGGGGAGGGTGAGGGGGAGGAGGGGGGAACGATGGGGGTGAGGGGGGGGGACGGGGAGGGTGAGGGGGAGGAGGGGGGGAACGATGGGGGTGAGGGGGGGGAACGAGAGGGGTGAGGGGGAGGGAGGGAGGGGGAGAGGGGGGGAAGGGGAAGGGGAAGGGGAAGGGGAAGGGGAAGGGGAAGGGGAAGGTGAAAGGGAAGGGGAAGGGGAGGAGGGGATGGGGAAGAGGGGATGGGGAGGGGGAAGGGGCAGAGGGAGAGAGATAAGATTAGTGAAATGGGATCAACAGGAAAAAGAAGGGGAGCTCGAAGTCCAGCAGATTCGCACACACTCGCACCTGACCCACCCATACCTGATCGATGATGACGTCAGACAGCAGCTCATACGCCGCCTCTCTGCTATCCCCGATAATAGCCAACTCGTCTCCCGCCCACTTGTTCTTCCCGCTCCCGCCGCCCCCCTTCAGCACCACCTCAGCATCAAGCATGCTCGCAAACTCCTTAAGATCCGCATTATCTTTCATAAACGCTTTAGCGGATTTACGTGGGACTATAGCGAGTACAAACGGGGCCATGTCTTCGTCATTCATATACACTTCCACGTCGACTTGGTCTTTCTTTGACGTAAGCACCGCGTCCCACGCGAGCGTCGCGAGATCGTGGCGACTTCGCAGGTTCAGGGTTACCAGCATCGCTTCGCAAAACCTTCGCCCGCTCGCGTACAGCTTGAACGTCGCCTGGCCTTCTTTGACGAGAATCGGCTCGCTGCTTTCGCCCGTTCCGATCAGGGCGAAGTTCTTCGCCAGCAGGCTACCCTCCGTCGCGAAATGGCTCGCGAAAGCGAGGCCGATCTTTTCATTCTGCCACTTGCCGACGAAATAGTTGATCGCGAAAATCGCGAGGAACGCAAGGAAAACCCCTTCCGCGACGAAATCCCGCGGGTGGAACGGCTTCCGCGGGATCGAGGTCCTCTGCGCGCGCGCCCTCTGCTGCGCTTGCGCTTGCGCTTGCGCCTGCTGCTGCGCCGCCCCAGGCTTGCCGAAAAACGACTTTCCCCCTGCTGCTCCCCCTTCTCCGCCTCCCCCGCCACCAGAACCTGCGCCTGCGCCAGCACCGGGCGTCACCCCTTCAAACTCCTCGTCATCCCAGTCCGCCGCTTCTCCCGCTGACCTACCCGTGCTGGATCCAGCGAATTCCGCTCCTTCGGGTGCGCTGGTGGCCGTTGATCCGGCATCTCGATCAGATTCAGCCGTTGGTTTGGTGTTCTGCTCTGGCTCAAGCTTGACGGATCGCGACGGAGGTCGCTGCGGGGCAACGAACTCCGTCTCCTCCTCGTCAGCTGCATCGTCAAACTCATCCTCGTCGAATCCCTCGAGCTGCTTCGCGGAAGCAATGGCGCGGTGCCACGTGGCAGTTGCTAGGAATGCCACAAGCAGCAGCGCAACCCACGGTACCCTAGTCTGTTTAGCCCTTACTCGACAAAGAACTCCAGCCATCGGATCAGATCAGGGAACAGTTAGGAACAAGAGGGACCGTCGATGAAGAAAGTGGACGGATCTGCAATCGCAGACGGCCACGCAAGTCTCTCCTTCTGACCCGGAAAAAAAATATCGCGCAGCGTTACCACACGTGGCACAGAATGCGGATCGAAAGGCAGACCTGGCGAGGAATGAAATAACGGATTCTAGGAGTGGGCCACCCAAGCCAAGCCACCTTGCTTCATGAGAAAGCCAGCACGAAAAATGTCTCACTACTGAAGTCGGAATCTAGCACGGCGAAAGCTAGAAGCGAGACAAAAAGCGGAGCGAGAAGGCGGAGAACGCAAGCAAGGGAGATCTGGAGGCAACGAGCAATTCCCAAGGGCTCGGGCTCGGCGACCTTCACGAACTGCACGAACTCGACGAATTCCACAAACTCAAAATTCGGCAGAAGTTGCGACACATCATTGAAAATACATTTCCGACTTGTTACGTGCTACACCTGATCCCGCACCCACAAAGTCCCTTGAACAAATGTGAAACTCCATGTTTCCAAATCTACACAAAGTGACATCGTTCCACTTGTCTTTGCCACAAGCATATGGCATTAATCAAACCAGTTTATTCACAACGATACGATAACATGCATGGCGTGCCATGGTTTGAATACAGGAAAAACAAAGGAGCCCGGGCAAGAGCGGTCCAAGCTAATGCATGTGAGTGGCCCAAGCTACCACTCCTAGTGCTCCTCCACCCACGATGGCGATAGGAGCATGGATCTGAAAACCACAACAGCAACAAGTGCACAAAAACATCCCAGATAACTAGCGTTGAGTGGGTCAAGAAGGAATAGGGTTTAAAGATGCAACAAGGTCATGGGGCAATTTTTAGACAGGAAAAGCTTCTAGCTCACAAGAAAACCAGTATGGCAGCTGTTATAAGATGGTAAACTTGAGACTTGAGAGTGTGGTCTAAGAGGGTGCAAGACACGAACGAACGAGTCTTGAGGAAGTGAGTTGTGGAATAACCGGTCATGGCAGTTTAGAGGGAGGGAAGCCATGGGGAAGGGGCTGACTTGGTATGCCTTGGATTTAGAGGAGTCTACAAAAGAATTGGGGTAGGTGCCTTGGATTAGTGTTGGTGTGAGTGAGGAAATTAGCCGCTGTGTATCAATATCAAATCATGGAAGTGCAGCAGAGGGGAGGGGGTCCACGGGGACGGAAACACAGCGAGGGGGCAAACAAGCGCACGGAACTCCCAAGAAGATGAGGGAGGGCTCACCTTGAGGAGATTTGTCACCGCCTTTTGAGTCTACTCAAAAGTCCCCTCCATGCCACGGGGACGGGAACACAGCGAGGCAAACAAGCGCATGGAAATGGAACTCCCACGAAGATGAGGGAGGGCTCACCTTGAGGAAATTTCTCGCCGCGTGTCCGATGATGGCTATTCAGAGGGACGCCATGGGGAAGGGGCTAGCTTTGTACGTCTTGAGTTGGGAGGATCGTTAAAAGAGGAAAAGTGGAGGTACCTTGAGGAAATTGGTCGCGGCGTATCCGATCATGGCTATGCAGAGCGACGCCATGGGGAAGGGGCTGACTCTGTACACCTTGAGGCCGAGAGAGAACACTGACGCCCAGATGAGACCAATCTGAGGGGGGTTTGGAAGTTTGTTGAGAGAGATGGGGGGGGGGGAAGGGGGGAGAGAAGGGGGGAGGGGGAGGGGGGAGGAAGAGGGGTTGTTCAAGGACGCCCAGGTCAGATGGATGGAGAATTTTAACATGAGTAACAGTATGCACAAGTGATCAAAGGGGGGTGCACATGGGAAGTGCACATGGGAAGTGCACATGGGAAGTCCACATGGGGAGTGCACATGGGAAGTGCAAATGAGGAGTGCACATGGGAAGTGCACATGGGGAGTGCACATGGGAAGTGCACATGGGGAGTCCACATGGGGAGTGCACATGGGAAGTGCACATGGGAAGTGCGCATGGGGAGTGCACATCGGAAGTGCATATGGGAAGTGCACATGGAGAGTGTGCATGGGGAGGGAAGTGCACATGGGGAGTCCACATGGAAAGTGCACATGGGAAGTGCACATGGGAAGTGCACACGGGGAGTGCACGTGGGGAGTGCACGTGGGGAGTGCATATGAGGACACTTACAGCTGTCGCGTTGAAGCCCGGTGTCGCCCGCTTGTACCTGCAGAATGTCAAGGGAAGGGAGGTAAGCAAGGGCAATGAGACTCCATGGAACGCACAAGGGACAGCAGGAAACGCTGTGTTTGTACCAGCACATCACCACACACACGGCACTATTATAATAGCAGCGTTATAGAAAGGCAGGCAGGCAGGCAGGCAGAATCGAGCAGGGTTACATTACATTACATGTGACATCATTATCCTTTTGAAACTTACAGCTTCCACTTCCGGAATTTGCCCCAAAAGGGCAGGACGCCATATATGATGAGAATGCCCGGCGAGAAGAGGCCGAACCAGCACGCTATAATGCCACCGAACCCCCCCACCTGTGTGGCGTGTGTAGGCAGCCAACAGAAGGGACAAAGGGGAGTTGGGCAGTGAAGTCAGAAAGGCAGGACGCCATACAAGATGAGAATGCCCGGAGGAAGAGGCCGAACCAGCAAGCTATGACGCCACCGAACCCTCCCACCTGCACGCAAGAGCATGGGTGCACACAAGGAGGAGGCCATAATAGGGAGGGGGAGCGGGGGTTTGGCAGTGAGAGTTAAAGGGCAGGACCCAATAGATGATTAGAATCCCTGGAGATAAGAGGCCAAACCAACAGGCTATGCTGCTTTTTTTTAGGCGCCGCAAAAACAGACTTGTAGAGAGAACAGGCCAAACCGGCAGGCTATAACGCCACCAAACCTTTCCACCTGCAAGCCTGCGCAGACAAGGAGGAGGACATGGAGAGGAGACAGGGAGGTTCCCAGTGAGGGTAAAAGGGCAGGACGCAATAAATGGGAAGCATTCCCGGAGGGAAGAGGCCGAACCAGCAGACTATGATGCTGCTGAACCCTCCCACCTGCACGGGAATGTACGGAGTCGTGAGAGGGGTGAAATGATAAGCACCAGATGGTTACACTCACGATAGCACCGGTGCACGGCACGAATTCAAGCACAGCGCGTACACTGGTGGTAGCACCAGTACACTTACAATAGCACCACTACACTTACAACAGCACCACTACACTAAAAATAGCACCACTACACTTCCAACAGCACCAGTACACCTACAATAGCACCACTACACTTACAATGACACCACTACACTTACGATGGCTCCAATATAATCACACGGGCAACACTCACCACAACGGGCTACACTTACGATGGGTTACAATCACAATGAGCTACACTCACAATAGCACCAATGTAGGCGGAGAAGTTGAAGAGAGGGCCGGGAAGGGCCTGTGCAAGGGCGAGTCCGGCAAGAAACTGCTGGGAAGTTACCCATGACGTGTTGGCTTCCACTTCGTAGCACTGCAATATGTATGTACCATGCACCTCACCCACGCCATGTACCATGCACCCCACCACGCCATGTCGTGTGCATCCCACGCCATGTTGCATACATGGCACATCGTCACATCCATGTCACATCCACCACACAGACGTATCCACCACCAGGCACAGGAACAGAGGAGGATGTGAGCAGACATTTTCGTCATATTCGAGCACGAGCACAGGGGGGATGTGAGCTGACACGAGCACGAACCTTATCATCCGTTTCACAGGCGCAAGCCTGAAAAGCCTAGAAAGCCTGGCAAGCCTGGCATAAGTATACCGGGCAAGCCCGGCAGGCCTGGCAAGCCTGTCAAGCCTGGCATAACTATACCGGGAAAGCCCGGCAGGCCTGGGAAGCCTGTCAAGCCTGGCATAACTATACCGGGAAAGCCCGGCAGGCCTGGCAAGCCTGTCAAGCCTGGCATAACTATACCGGGAAAGCCTTCTTTCTCACCTTGCCCCCACCGGGCGGGCGCATGGTCTGGTAGTCAATGACCACGCTCTCCAGCAGCGAGATGGCAGTGGACTTGACTCAGAAGCCAAAAGCCTTCAACTCCTCCCTATCATTCTCTCACCTTGCCCCCACCGGGCGGGCACACAGTCTGGTAGTCAATGACCACGCTCTCCAGCAGCGGCAGCACCACCTGCCCTCCTCCGTACGTCACTGAGCCGGTGAGATAAAATCCCTGTCAAAGGGGGGAAAGAAAGAGCAGTGATTGGGGTGTGCGAACTGACACAAGGATGGGGAAAGAAAGAGAAGCAAAAGGGGTGTGAGATAAAGCCCTTGACACCAGGATGCCAGTCCACGCGGCCTGCCTATGCTATTGTGTCAGTGGATCTACTTGGCGCACTCACCTCGAACCAGTGGATCCACTTGGCGCTCTCGTAGGTGGTGGCGTTCTTGTAGACAATGGAGAAGACCAAAATGCCGATCCACGCAAACAGCAGCATGGCACCAGCCAGCGGCGACACGCCTAGCCTCTCAATGTCGCTGCGCTGTGGGGGGATGGGCTTGTTGCGCTCCGTGAAATAGGTCACGACGCCACCTGAAGAACAAAAAAGGGGGGGTGGGAGGGGGGACAGGGGCGGAGAGAGCACAAGTTGCAGTGCTGGGCTTGTTGCGCTCCGTGAAATAGGTCACGACACCGCCTGGCCTGAGAGGACAGAATAAGAAGGGATGGGGGGGAAGGGAGAGAGGGAGGGGTATGGGGAAACTGTTTTTGAGGCGCCTCAGAAATAGACTCCTCACAAAGGGATGGGGGGGGAGGGAGAGAGGGAGGGGTGTGGGGAAACGACATGGGGAGTGGGCTTGGTGCTCTGTGTGAAATAGGTCTGACGCTGCCTGGCGGGAAGAGATGGTAGAAATGGGTACAAATGGAATGTGAGACCCGCTTTCGCATGTTGCGATTTTTGAGGCGCCTCAAAAAGCGGCAAGAGATGGTAGAAATGGGTACAAACGGAATGTGAGACCAAGCTTTCGGATGTTGCTGCACTGAACGGGAAAGGGCTTGCTGCTGCGCTGCGCTCCGTGAAACGGGTGATGGCACCGATCGGAAGAACATAGAGAACGAGAGCACAAGTCGCCTCGACTCAAAAGTCACCTCGACCCAAAAGGCGCCTCGACTCAAAAGTCACCTCGACCCAAAAGGCGCCTCGACTCAAAAGTCACCTCGACCCCAGCATGTATGGCAGATCAGATAGTAAGCACCAAGTCTATGGGTAGTACGACCACTTCAGGTCATGCACCCAAGTTCTTGAGGGTAGTATCACCCACCCAAGGTTGAGTACCAAGCCTATGGCTACACTAAACCTTAGAGAAAACAATAACTAGCAACTGAAGGATAAGAAACAGTGTATCGCTAGTAGTAGACTACACGGAACATAACACAAATTTCTGAATCCATCACTGGTGCTCTTGTGCCGATTGTTTTGGCTATTACGACAAACCCCACCCCGTACCTGGCAGGATGACTCTTGAGTCGACTCAAAAGCAACCTCACCCCGTACCTGGCAGGATGACTTTTGAGTCGAATCAAAAGCAACCTCACCCCGTACCTGGCAGGATGACTTCTGAGTCGACTCAAAAGCAACCTCACCCCGTACCTGGCAGGATGACTTTTGAGTCGACTCAAAAGCAACCTCACCCCGTACCTGGCAGGATGACTTTTGAGTCGACTCAAAAGCAACCTCACCCCGTACCTGGCAGGATGACTTTTGAGTCGACTCAAAAGCAACCTCACCCCGTACCTGGCAGGATGACGGTGGGAAAGATCCCGCACAGTAGAAGGTGATGAAAGCCGACGCCACGCACAGCACCCTCGTGACATTATTGCGGCACATCTTGCTCCATACCTTCGTACCCAGCAGCACCTTTCCGTACCGAGCAGGATGACGGTGGGGAAGATCCACTGCGTGGCATAGTAGAAGGTGATGACAGCGGACGCCACGCACAGCACCCGCGTCACCTTGTTGCGGCACATCTTCTTCCCCAGGATCACTGCTGCCTCCGCCACTAGTGCCACTGCCACCGCCGCCAGCCCCGCAGAGAGAGCCGACAACCACGGCTCTGGATTGACCAGGAACTGGTTTGGTTAGTGGGGGAGAGGGTGGGGTGGGGGAGAGGGCAGGGGGTAAATGGACGCAAATTATTTCCCAGCATCACTGCTGCTTCTGCCACTGGCGCCTAACAGCAGCCCGCCGGTGATGCCCTTTTGGAGAATGATACTGTGTGTCCCACGTATAAGCTACAAGTGTTTATCCTGCCGGCTCACCTTGGCCACTCCAAAGCCAGCGATGGCCATGATGATCGCTCCAGGAAGCTGGAACAAGGCGCCTGACAGCAGACCACCTGAGATGCCCTTCTGGAGGATGCCAATGGAGAATGACATCTGCGTGCTGGATGGGCCGGGCACTGCTTGGGTCAGCGCCAAGAGTTCAGCGAACACGTCCTCAGACATCCACCTGGAGTATGAGGCCGAGGGGATGAATGGGCAGGAAGATGGAGGATGCCAATGGAGAATGACATCTGCATGCTCGATGGGCCGGGTACTGCCTGTGTGAGGGCAAGAAGCTCCGCAAATACGTCTTCAGACATCCACCTGGTGGGGGGACACGGTATCAAGGGGAGGGAGGGTGGAGGAGAGGAGGAAGGGTGGAAGAGAGGAGGTAGGGTGGAGGAGAAGTGGGGCAATGCCGATGGAGAATGACATTTGCGTGCTGGATGGGCCAGGCACGGCTTGGGTGAGCGCCAAGAGCTCTGCAAAGACGTCTTCAGACATCCAACTGGTGTGGGGGAGAGGGGAACGGATTGAGGGGAAGAGGGAGGATGCCGATGGAAAACGACATCTGCGTGCTAGATGGGCCGGGCACGGCTTGGGTCAGCGCCAAGAGTTCTGCCAAAATGTCTTCAGACATCCAAGGTCCACCTGGGAGGACGGGAGGGGAAGAGGGGAAGCGGAGAAGGGGAAGTGAGGGGTGTCTGCATTGGTCTGAAGAGCAGCCTAGACTGCGCGCTGGTGATTTTTTAGTCGACTCAAAAATCATCTTTTGAGTCGAATCGAAGAGCAGCCTAGACATATGTGTGCTGGTGATTTTTTAGTCGACTCAAAAATCATCTTTTGAGTCGACTCGAAGAGCGGCCTGGACATCTGCTCGCTGGGTGGGCCGGGCACAGCTTGAGTCAGCGCAAGAAGCTCAGCAAATACATCCACCCGGAGTGGGGGAAAACGGGGAAGAATGGGCAGGAAGGGGGAGAATGCAGATGTATATAACATCTGCGTGCTCGATGGGCCAGGCACCGCTGGATTCAGAGCCAAGAGTTGAGCAAAAACGTCCACTGACATCCAGGTGCAGTGGGGAGGGAAGGTGTAACAGGGAGAATGCCCTCTGCCATCCATCCTCTCAGCTCCACTCACCCCCGCAGCTCCCCCAACTGCTTGTGATACATGGCGATGTGTCGATGTGTGCCGAAGGGGTGGAGAGAGACAAAGGTGTCCCCTTTCCTCTCAAACTGAGTGCAAGTGATAGAAGCGAGCAACTCACCCTCTCAGCTCCAAACTGCTTGTGGTACATAGTGATGTGCGCCAAGGATCGTAGAGGCATCCCCTTTGCACCCCCTCATGTCAACTCAACTCCTCCTATCTACTCACCCTCGCAGCTCCACAAATTGCTTGTGGTACATGGCGATGTGCGCCGAAGCGGCAGAGAGTGACAGAGGTGTCCCCTTTCCTCTCAAACGAGGGCAAGTGATAGGAGCGAGCGACTCACCCCCGCAGCTCCACAAACTGCTTGTGGTACATGGCGATGTGCGCCGATGGGCCGCCGAACGCCGTCCACCCGAGCAGAAAGAACGCCTGGAAGACGGCCCAGTAGCTGCCACGTGGCACCTGCGCATTGGGCGGGAATGGTAAAAGTTGGTCAACGCCAATGGCGGGCACGACCAGTCAATGGCAATAGGGGAAGTAGAAACACGAAAGGAGGTTTAGGGAGGATTTAAGGAGGAGAGTGAGGGGATGGGGAGAAACGTTGTGATGGGGTGGGGTGGTGGAGGAAGGCGGAGGGAGGGAGGAGGAGTGAGGAGGGGGGAAGGAGATGAGAATGGGGCGAAAAAGAGAGGAGAGAGGAGGAGGAAAGACAAAGGAAGGGATAGCTTTACCAAGGGAGGGTCCTCCTCGAGAACGACTTGAGAGACACTACCAGCACCTCCGCTGCTATATGAGACATATATCTGCTGAGGCATGACAATTTTTTAGTTTTGAGGCGCCTCAATGCACGGAAGGAAGAGACTTACCAGGGGAGGGTCCTCGACAACGACTTGAGGCGGTGCCGGCACACCTGCTGCTGCAGCAGGCACGATTGCCCTGCTCTCGTCGTCTCCCTCATCGCTCCCTCCCTCCTCCTTTTTCCCACCGTCACCCTCACCATCCGTGGCCAGGGAAGAACCAGCAGCACCAGCAGCACCAGCAGCACCAGCAGCAGCGCCAGGAGCCGCAGTCGTGGCTGCAACAGCAGTGGCGGCGGCAACAGCAGTGGCGGCAGCAGTCGTGCCAGCAGCACCAGTAGGCGCAGCAGCAGGGTTCTCGGAGCTGCTCTTGGTCTGCAAAGCGAGAGCGCCCACGGGAGTAGAAGAGAATCAGATAGATCATTCAAGGAAAGAGAATCGACAAGACGGCGAATCATGGTGTATAACAGAAGGTTCCATGCCTTTTACGCACACGCGTAACATGCATTGCGTCTTATTCTGCGCATGGATCAACCAAGTGAACCACGCAAGCCAGCTTTCCTTCCGCAAAGCCCTAAAACCCTCACGTCACTTCCACCCTTCCAGCCCCTTCTCTCTCCCTTTCCCCGTACCCTCACTCCAAGAGAGTGCTCCAAGGAACCTCAAAGCGGCTGCCTTGCCCTCACCCTCACCTTCCCAAGGAGCGCAGGAAACAATCTTCCAGCCACCTGCCGCCAAGCGGCAATCAATCCAGGCTTGCGCTCGTTACCATCTCCATTCTCGTCCTTAGCAGCATCAGCAACACCAGGGGCACCAGCAGCACCAGCACTCGTTTTGGCATCGGTCGTTCCGTTGCTAAAAGCACTCGTTTTGTCAAAGTTACCGTTAAGCTTCTGCTCCGTCTCCTCCTCCCCGTCCGTCCGCTCCTTCCCTCCCTGTCCATCCCCTGCGCCCACCCTCCCCCCCTTCTCCTCCCTGTCGGTATCCCCCTCCTCGCTGCTGTGATCCGAGATGTCATGCAGACAAGGCACGCCCGCTTCCTTCCCCTGCGCTGCCTTTTCCGGCGCTGACGCTGACGTGGCTGCTGACGTGGCTGCTGCCGTGACTGCTGCCGTGGCTGACGTGGCCGACGCCGCGGGTTGGTCGCTACCGAGCGCTGACGGCGTTGAACTTGCGGCACCAGGGGCATCACCCTGTGGCTGCACAGCAACACACGGAACGGGGAAGGCAAGAAAACTACGAGATGTGCAAGGCTCGTCAATCTTCGACGCACGTTGATATCCAATGCGCGTCAATTTCTACGCCTCGTCATCATCTAAGGCTCGTCAATGCCTAAGCCTCATCATTATCTAAGGCTCGTCATTAGCTAAGCCTCGCCATTATCTAAGCCTCGTCGTTATCTAAGCCTCGTCATTATCTAAGCCTCGTCATTATCTACGTCTCGTCAATCTTCAAGGCAAGTCGGTATCTAAGGCTCGTCACTAAGGCTCGTCAATATCTAGGGTAACTCAGCTCAGCACGTACTCGAAACAAGGGTATAGAGAAAGGAATTAGCTCGCCTTAGCTGGCGGCTCTCCTTCAAGACACGGGAGATGTTCTAAGGTGACTTTTGAGTCGACTCAAGAGCCGGCGGCTCTCCTTCAAGACACGGGAGATGTTCCAGGGCCTTCGGAAACGTACTACTAGCTGACGATGTAACGGTTCTATGACGCTTTCAGACCCAGCTACTCAGACCTGGAAGCGTACTAAGCTGCTGTAAGTGTTACTAAGCCTTACTCGTATGAGCGGCGGTCCATGCTAGGTCGAGAGCTCGCATCATCCGCATCAGGATGGTCTCCTCTGTTTCGCGCGACCCTACTCAGCTAGTAACAGCTCTCACCTCCGGAGCCGGCGATCCGGCCATGGCGAAGAACGGCTCTGCCCGGGAGAGGCTACTTCTTCTTTAGTATAATGGCGTATGCACAATCCGAAAATGGCAACGTCAAGCGACACTGCTACTAAGCGCTCAGCGGCTGTCGATCATCGACGATGATTGTCGACAATAAGTCGGTTTGCGAGAAAAGGCATGGAGCAAGAAGAGAGAAAACATCCAGGCTTTTCTCTTCTTCTTCCTCCTCTCGCGTTGCGATAAGAATCTGTTTCGAAGAAGGTTAAGGCTCTCGGCGGCCTTCCCCGTAAGCCTCCAAAAGGCTCCTGCAAGCGTGCGAAGTTTCACGAAAATAGAGCGTCGGAGCTTCACGGACAGATGCAGTGAACCATAAGAGTCCACTACAAACTAAGCGAATAGGCTCGCGCGGCCTGCTCACGCGCAAATGCTGCTGCGCTTGCGCTCGCAGGGCAAGAGACAGGCTGGAGCTGTGCGGTTTGGCTGCCATGATGCTTGCTCTATGTAGAAAACTATTCTGAAAGAGTGGAAGACAGAAGGCTTCCTCCTGCTGCTACGTGTACTGAAGCTAGGACAGGTCACGGCCAGGGGAATCCGAGATCGCTGCCAGCGGGGAAAAGGAGGCGAGGTGGTTTCTTGTGCTCCTGCTTGCTGTTGCTGCTGTCAGCGAATGGGGCGCGAGGACCACGGGAAAGCGCGTGCGAGGGGCCAGATGCGGTGAATCGAGACATCGGGGATGATCATCCCATGTTATGATAATCTCCGGATAGGAGTCGAGTAATGCAATACACTTTTCCTCCTATATTGTCTCACCCGGAACAGTTTAAATTGCAATCTCACCTACCAGGTTCTCAGCATGACTCGCGTTGACACTGAACCTGATTGGCTGCAGCCTGAACGATAGCGATCAGCCAAGTTGTATTTCAACAATTGCGAGGTTCAGAGCTGGGACGTCGCACGGGCAACTAATCTAGTGCATGAGCAAGATTTTGTAACCAAGTGTCGTTGTTTACTGTGGGATTTCCCCTTCGGGGTCCCGTTTGCCCGTGTTTTATAATTTCCTGCTTACAAGCTCAAACCGCATGCGAAAATTATGATAATACATAGGAGAACAGGTGTAGTAAGGTCGTGATTAAAGTGTGTACAAATGAAGCACATGGCTAAATACAAGCACAGCTAACCTAGAAATGGGGCCTCAAGGAAGGCCACGAAAAACACGCGAGGTGGTTTAGGGCTCCTCGGGACTCGGAAGTGTCGGACGCGACGCTGCGTGTAGGCTTGGGGTCTCGAATGTAGTTTGTATCAAACCTAGAATTGAATAATGTGAGAGAGAGAGAGTACACAAACATATACCTAAATGTTGTACTCTCTAGAAGGTGACCCTATACAGTCTATACAAACATGATAACTACACATGTTTGACACACCCCCTGGACTGCATAGGGGAATGTTCTAGACAAGTAGCTCAGGGTGGCACTACTAGTCCAGCCTCTGAGACAAGGGTCTAAAAGACCAGTCAGAAGGAGTACAGACAAGGCAAGAACGAGTACAGGGCGGCACTACTAGTCCAACCACTGTGAGAGGACACAAGTCCAGTCTGAGTGTATACATATATATATATATACGACAGTACAAAGTCAAGGCCCGAGTAAGTGAGAGACTACAGGAACCAGACCAAGCTGTAAACAGTGCCGCTGATGATCTTTAGGCGCAAGCGCCTTCGTAAAGATATCAGCTGTGTTGGCACCGGAGGCCAAGTGTACTACGCGAGCCTGGCGCCGCTGCTGTAGCTCGCGCAGGAGGAAGTACCGCAGCTGGATGTGCTTCGCTCTGCCCTCGAGTCGAGGCTCCTGACACAGGAGAATCATGGCCCTATTGTCAGCGTACAGGACCGGGGCAGAGCTAGGCCGCTCACCTAAGTCAGTGAGCAAGAAGGTCAGCCAGCGGAGCTCCTGTGCCGCCATGGCACCGGCGTAGATCTCAGCCTCACAGCTGGACTGGGCAACCGACGAGGAGCGGGTAGCTCTCCACGAGACAGCACCTGAGCCAAGGCTAAAGCAGTAGCCCTGGGAAGACCTGAGCGTCTCGGCGTCGTCTGCCCAAGAAGCGTCTGTGTGTCCAGTAAGGACCACTGGCCTGCGTCCGCCTAGCACTAACCCCATGTCCGATGTACTTGCAAGATAACGCAAAACCCTCTTAGCGGCAGACCAGTGCTGAGGTCGGTGTCTGCCTGTGGCCACAAAACGAGCCAGGATGCTGAGAGGGTATGCGAGATCTGGGCGAGTGCAAGTCATCAGGTACATGAGGCAACCCACTAGCTCAGCGTAAGGACCACTGGGATCTACCGACTCCTCAGGAACTGGAGCGGAGAGTCTGTGGTCTAGAGGAAGAGGGGTGGGCTGTGCGGAGGAGAACTGAAGGCCGAACCTCTGAAGGACCTGGCGCACCAAGTGTGACTGAGTCAGGGTGATGGTGCGGGCGGCTCTGTCCCTGGAGATCTGCAAGCCAAGGTAACGGCGCAGCTCTCCAAGGTCAGTGCAGGTGTGTCTCTTCAGCAGCTCTGCCTTCACGGAGGCCAGTGCGTCCCTGTCAGCTGTGGCAAAGACCAGGTCGTCTACGTAGACGAGGATGTAGAACGGAGTCGAGCCAGCACGAACGAAGAGCGAGGGGTCTGCAGAGGACGGAAAGAACTGCAGGTCAGCAAGAGTAGCACGCAGCGTGTCGTGCCACTCACGAGGCGCCTGGCGCAGGCCGTAGACTGGGCGCCGCAGAAGCCACTGGGTCCCAGGGGGGAAGGTGCCAGTAAAGCCCTGAGGACGACGCAGGTAGACCTGCTCGTGAAGGCTGCCCTGAAGAAAGGCAGTGGAGAAGTCGAGGGAGTGAAGCTCGTAGTCACGCTGAGCCGCTACGTGTAGCAGAACCCGAAGAGTAGTCATCTTCGGGGTAGGAGCGAAAGTCTGAAAGAAGTCCACCCCCTCGCGCTGACTGAAGCCTCTAGCCACGTAACGCGCCTTGAACACAGGCGGCTCTCCAGGAGGGCGCTTCACCTTGAAGAGCCAACGGCCATCGACCACGTTCACCCCAGGTGGGGGAACTGCGTCGACGAAGGTGCCGGTGGATCTCCAAGATGCCATCTCCTGCTCCATGGCAGCTATCCACTGAGAGGCCCAAGGTCCCGAAACCGCCTCAGCGTAAGTACGAGGGGTCGGGATGTCAAAAGCGTCTGGGTCACCCTCAGGGACTAGCAGCATGGAACAGAGATGGGGAGCAGCCTCGGACAGGAAAGCAAGCTCAAACTGGCGGTCCTCCAGGACGTCACTGCCGAGGGCAGGAGCACCCCCGACAGACGGAGGACAGGCAGGGTCAGAGACCAGAGCGGAGGCGTAGTCAAGGCGGCGGGTAGAGGCGAAGTCAGCGACCGCAGCGACAAGGGCGTCAAGACTCGACACTGGAACAGACGGGTCGGTAACGAGAGAGGCAAGGACCCGAGGAACAAGAGGACGAGCGGCACGAAAGTAGTCAGACAGAGGAGGAGACGCAACGACAAGAGAGGACGGAGGAGGAGACGGGAGGAGGGGAGGACGAGACGCGTGGGAGCGGAGCAACATAGGGTGAGTGCGCGGGACGGGGGAGACAGGACGAGCACGGGAGGGGCGGCGAGACCAGACGTGAGAGGGCGGCGTCGGGTCGGGAGACAGAGGAGGGGACACGGGTGGGGAACGAGGGGGAAAACGAGCCGGGGACGAGTCCGGCGGAGGGAACACGGGGCCGTAGACGGGAAGAGGGGGAGACGGCCGGAGAGGAACAGGCGCAGGGTCAGGGGACGGAAGGCCGAGCAGACGGAGGGCGGACACCGGCGGGGACTGCTGCTGCGGCGACACAACACCAACGCCAGGGCCACAAGCTGCGCGACGGCTACCTCCCGAACCCTCCACACCGGCACCCCCAGAAGGGACACCCCCAGAGCCCGAAACACCGCCAGCACCGGTACCACCCCCAGGCCCGCGGGGACAAGCCACGACAGGAGCCCCGGGACGAGTACCCACCTCAACTCCAGCACCCCCAGAGTCCACAAACAGCGGCAGCGACGACGGCGGCGGCGGCGGCGGCGGCTGCAGCGACGGCCTCGACGGCGGCGGCGGCGGAGACGACGGCTGCAGCAGCTGCGGCGACGGCGGCTGCGGAGGCGGTGGAGGAGGAGACACCGGGGGAGGGACAGACGGCGAGGACTGCGCCAAAGGACTACCAGAGGCAGAAGACTCGTCGACCAGAACGACCGACGGGAGGGGGGTGACAGGGCCCGCCTCCAGAACCACCACCCGGTGCACCACCACGCGCACGACCACCACCAGCTCCAGGCCACCCAGGCGGGAGAGCACTCGCCGGCCTCGTCTGCGGCGGCTGCTGCGGCTGCTGCGGAGGCTGCTGCTGCTGCGGCTGCTGCAACGGTGGAGGCAGCGGGGCAGCTGGACCGGGCAGGGTCCCCACGTCCGCACCGGCACCGGACGACCCGCCTCCACCACTACCCCCACCCGCACCCCCGCCACCTCCGCCGCTCCCAACCTTGGGGCGGCGGCCCTTCCCCGAGCGGGACTGCACTGCAGCAGCAGTCTCAGCCACAGCGACAGAGCCGTCGGAGAAGGTACACTGAGCGGGGGCACAACCCTGAAAGATAGGGACCGGTACTGTACCGCTCGCCTGGGCTATGGAGCGGTGACGAGTCTCTATGGCAGTCAGGGTGTCAACAAAGTCGGTGAGGGTGAGAGCAGCAGGGTGGATGCTAAGGAACTGGTCGCGGGCGGCGGCAAGGCGGTCAGGGAGACGGGTGGCAAGGAGGTAGAGGGTAGAGGTCATGGGAGGCTGGTGGACTCTAAGCTGTGCATCAGTGCAGGCAGCGCGCCAGGCCGCATCTATCGAGCGCAGGTGGGCAGCGAGGTCAGAGACAGTGGGGAAGGACGCCAGGTCAGGAAAGAGCAGGGGGAGGATCAGGCGACCCACTGAGGCAGCAGGAGGGGTAGAATAGCGCTTGATGACAGCATCGAGGTAGGCCTGGGCGGTAGTAATGGTTCTAAAGCGAGGGCGCTCAAGGGGGGGAGGGCATTGCTAATGGCGAGCTGAGCAAGGGCATCGCGGGAAAGCCAGACAGAGCGGGCAAGGGCAGCGGCGGCAGTGGACTCGCGCTCAGCGGGCGTGGGATCAGCAGGCAGCACAGCAGGGGGGTCAGGGCAGGGGAGCATACCGTCTAGGTGTGCAGAAAGCGGGTGGCCGTCCTGCCGCTGACCAGTGAGGTGGCGGCGAAGGTCAGCCAACCACGCCTCGAACTCCAGAGGCTGACCCTCAGCATCAAAACGAAGCTCAGCAGCCATGAGGGGCAGTGGAGGACAGTGGATTGCGGTGTAGTGCTGTGCAGTGCGGTGCAGGGCGGTGCAGTGCGGTCCAGTGCGGTGCAGTGCGATGCAGTGCGGTGCAGTGCGGTGCAGTGCGGTTCAGTGCGGTGCA